TAGATAGATAGACAGATAGACAGGTAGACAGCTAGACAGATGAAGGAGGGAGAGAGAGAGAGATAGATAGATAGATCGATCGATAGATAGATAGATAGATAGGTAGATAGATAGATAGGTAGGTAGGTAGGTAGATAGATAGTCAGAGAAAGAGAGAATAGTGAGAGAGATCAATCACCTTTCGATCCATGAGTGGCTTCGCTCTGCCATCCCTGATTCACAACAACCAACCTCTCCTATAGGTTTCCTATTTTTGAAACTTCCGCCACCGCCTTGTGCGGTACTACTGGTATATGACTGTTATGTGTGTTTGCAGATGTCAGATTTGTCATCAAGGATGCCATCATTCGAGAGTTGAGAATCATATTGTTTCATGTGGTTAAGCAAACAAAGCAACCCGGAAACGACCGCAAGAGGCTAGGTCCCAAAAGCGCTGGTAGGAATTGTTGCAGACCCGAGACATCAAATGTGACACCACACCGCATGACATGACAAGACACGTATGAAAGACATGGCATAACATGACCTCAGCTTGTTTGCAAATCGACGTTTGGTTTCAGCCCTGATCTTGCCAATATGCTGCATAGCTCAAGCTCATAGACAGATTAGACAGTATTTGCTCCTTCTGGGGACGACAGCACACTGGCCTGGCCAACTGCCACTGAATTTCTATGCAATATGCATATAATATTATACATATGTAATCATATATATATAGACGCGCAACGCCTGGGCTTTGCCCAGGCGTTGCACCATAGAGGTTTCCCATTCCCAACACATGTTGATGCAACTTCACAAAATTCCTATTGGAAAAACAACAAAGGTAGTAGGGAATATTAAACTCCCACCCCCGTTAAACTTTACATTCAATTAGGAAGATCAACAAAGGTACTAGGGAATATTATATAAATTCCCACCCCCGTTAAACTTTACATTCAATTGGGAAGATCAACAAAGGTACTAGGGAATATTATATAAATTCCCCCCACCGTTATACTTAACATTCAATTGGGAAGATCAACAAAGTTATATACAAATATACAAGGTAATATTAGACTCCCACCCCCGTTAAACTTTACATTCATTGAAGATCTTCAATAAGGGTTTAATTCTCCCACCCCCGTGAACTTCTACATTCATTGAAGATCTTCAATAAGGGTTTAATTCTCCCACCCCCGTTGAACTTCTACATTCACTGAAGATCTTCAATAAGGGTTTAATTCTCCCACCCCCGTTGAACTTCTACATTCACTGAAGATCTTCAATAAGGGTTTAATGCTCCCACCCCCGTTAAACGTCTACATTCATTGAAGATCTTCAACCCCGTTAAACTTCTACATTCATTGAAGATCTTCAATACGGGTTTAATTCTCCCACCCCCGTCAAACTTCTACATTCATTGAAAATCTTCAATAAGGGTTTAATTCTGATGATGATGACGATGATGATGATGATGATGATGATGATGCGTCGCCTGTCGTCATTGCGGGTCCGGGCAAAGCCCAGGCATTTGCCGTATATATATATATACAAGTCTCGTAGCCTATTCCACTTGCAGACTACTTGTTAAAAGCTTCTAGCAGTGCACGCAAACCCTAGTAGCCTAGTAAAGTCCAATGGGAGACATACTTGTGACTCAACGTGCAAAGGTGGACACATTCGATGTGTCCATTGACGCCTTGTTTTGATTGGATTTCTCCGGTTTTGCTTTCGTCTTGTTTTCCTTAATCATCCCTGGGGTTCAGCATGGTGTTCGAAGTGTTGTTGCTTCCGCTCGTTTACTTCAGTCCTCATTCTATATGTATAATTATGTATATCGCATACAATGTATACAGATACATTCGGCATCGCGCGTCTCCGTGTCTCATCACCTTTGCCTGCCCCGAGTACTGTGCCCCTCTTGGCTTTCCACGCGCCAAACAGTTCAAAGGTCATACGGTGTTCGCAACGGTTTTGAAGGCTTTGTGACATTGTCTGCCTTGGCTAAGGATGTCCTGTGCCTTCCCACATTCTATCTCCCTTCTTGTCTGCCCTCGTGTCTTACTTCTCGTCTGTCCTTGGATGACACTGCCTGCCTTCCAGCCGGACTTTGTCCTTTGTTTCCCTGGCATGAACAGCATGAACGTTTGAAACTCATAATTGACATGAAAAGCACAGCAGTTATTACCAGTAGTACCGCACAAGGCGGTGGCGGAAGTTTCAAAAATAGGAAACCTATAGGAAGGGTTGGTTGTTGTGACTCACGGATGGCAGAGCGAATCCACTGATGGACCGAAAGGTGATTGGAGTTGTGCTTTTTTGCAATCGTTGCAGTGGTCACCTCACTCACAACTCCTGGATGACCTCACTCACAACTCCTGGATGTAGTGTGGTGTAGCGCAGTAGTTGTAGCTGTAGTTGTATTTGTAGTGGTGTTGATGTTGTTGAAGTTGTAATGTTGTAGTTGTGGTTGTAGTTGTAGTTGTAGTGTAGTTGAAGTGAAGTTGAAGTGTAGTTGAAGTTGTAATTGTCTTAATTGTAGTAGTTGCAGTAGCTGCAATAGCTGTAGGAGTTGTAGTTGTAGTTGCAAGCAACTGTAGTTGTAAGTAACTGTAGTTGTAGTTGTAGTGTAGCGTCGTGGTAATTGTAGTAGTAGTAGTAGCGTAGTTGAAGTTGAAGTTGTAGTTGAAGCGTCGCTGTAGTGTAGCTGAAGTTGTAGTTGCAGCTGTAGTTGCGGTTGCAACTGTAGTGCAGTTGTAGTAGTTGTTCAGTTGCAGTTGTAGTTGTAGTGGCACTTGTAATAGTAGCTGTAGCTGTAGCAATTGTAGTTGCGGCTGTAGCTGTAGTTGAAGTGTAGTTGAAGTTGTAGTGGTAGTGTAATTCAACAGCTGTAGTTGAAGTTGTAGTTGTAGTGTGGTGTAGTGCCGATGCAGTTGTCTATTTATCTGTCTATCTAGGTATCTGTTTATCTATTAATTTGTCTTTCTGTTCATCTATCTATCTATCTATCTATCGATATCGATCTATCGATCTATCGATCTATCGATCTATCGATCTATCGATCTATCTAGCTATCTAGCTATCTAGCTATCTAGCTATCTAGCTATCTAGCTATCTAGCTATCTAGCTATCTAGCTATCTAGCTATCTAGCTATCTAGATCTATCTAGCTATCTATCTATCTATCTATCTATCTATATCTATCTATCTGTCTGTCTGTCTGTCTATCTATCTATCTACCTATCTACCTATCTACCTATCTACCTATCTACCTATCTACCTATCTACCTATCTACCTACCTACCTATCTACCTATCTACCTATCTACCTACCTACCTACCTATCTATCTATCTATCGATCTATCGATCTATCGATCTATCGATCTATCGATCTATCTATCTATCGATCTATCGATCTATCGATCTATCGATCTATCGATCTATCGAGCTATCGATCTATCTAGCTATCTAGCTATTTAGCTATCTAGCTATCTAGCTATCTAGCTATCTAGCTATCTAGCTATCTAGCTATCTATCTATCTATCTATCTATCTATCTAATCTATCTTATCTGTCTGTCTGTCTGTCTATCTATCTATCTATCTATCTCCAAGCTTGAAAACGAAACTATTCTGCGAGACGTCCTCAGGTTTTTGAACTTGACAACATGAAAAACGAAGCAATTCTATGAGACTTCCTCAACTTTTGAACTTGACAACGTCAAAAACGAAGCTAATCTGCGAGACTTCTTCAATTTTTCAAGTTGACCACATCAAAAACGAAGCAATCCTGCGAGACGTCTTCAATTTTCGAAGTTGACAACATCAAAAACGAAACAATTCGGCGAGACTTCCTTCAAAAATGGAAAGTTGAGTGCAGAGCTGACAGCCTCGTACCAATGCGTTTTGCGATTTTTCCACTCCACCTGTCTAAAGTACTGCGCCTGCCACGAAAAAGTGATGCCAGGTCATACGAAGACCCCTCTCAGGAAATCAGCGCCCGGACCTCTAACATCTCTGATGAACATGTAACATGTCTCTTGTTCTGCGCCTGCCACGGAAAATGCATCTTTGCAGATCCTCTTCAATTGCCCCAAGCCTGCCATCATTTTTGGAAATGCTACAAAACCCTCACGTTTCGCTCACTTTTGCCAAGGTGCATAATCCCTTGCGGCTGCTACGCGAAACGGCATCTGAACGTCCAAAAGCGGCGCGAACATGTGGTGCTTTGTGCATTTTGACTTCGAAATGTGCATTTTGACTTCGACATGTGCTTCGTGCCACAACGGCGTGCACTTTGTCGACATCGCAACTTCTAAAAGTGCTCCGAACCTGGTGTGCTTTGTACATTTTGACTTGGAAATGTGCTTCGCGCCACAACGGCGTGCACTCTTTCGACATCGCAACTTCTAAAAGTGCTCCGAAGCTGCGGTGCTTTCTACATTTTGACTTCGAAATGTGCTTCGCGCCACAATGGCGTGCAACTTTCATCTCTCATCTGGCCAGCTGGCTCCGCACCCGCCGCTTTAGCGAGCCTACTTTTCAACCCTCCGGAGCCACAAATCACCGGAAAAACACAGTGTTTCGCAGCTTTCCTATCAGACTTTCTCTTTTTTGATCTTCTTTCTTCTTCTCTTCTCTGAGTCTTCCCACCTGTACTTTTCCATCTGTCCATACTGTCGGAAGTTTGACTTCTAAACTTCCTTCGGTCAGTAATTGCATGGTAGCATATCCCTACTCCTGCCCCTAGGAGGCTGAGGCGGCATTCAAAGCCGACAAAGAACGATACGAGGACCAAGAAACTATTCAACAATTCCTGCGCGTTCAGCATATCAGTGCCGTTTTCTGCTGGTAGCTATAGACTTTTGTGCGAGCGCGCTTCCTCAAAAAATGGAACTGCACAGCTCCAAAACGAAGAAATTCTGCGAGACTTCCTTCAAACATGGAAAGTTGCGCGCAGAGCTAACGGCCTCGTGCCAATGCGCTTTGCCGATTTTTAGGGTCCATCCCTCTATCCCTCCAGATTAAGTACTGCCCCACGAAAAATTACGGCCAGGTCACCCGATGTGCTGCTGTCACGCAAAATCATAAAAACCAGAAATCCAATGCTCCGAAAAGCAACCCCTCTTCTGCCGTGTCAGAACCTGCTATAAAACCCACATTTTTAACGCTTATTTGTGAAGGCGCATGTTCCATTGGGCTGGCCACGAAAAACGACGCTTGATCGTCCAAAAGTGGTCCAAACATGGTGTGCTTTGCCATTTTGACTTGAAAACGCGCTTCGCGCCGCAACTACGTGCATTTTTCATACTTTTTCGACATCTCAACGTCCCAAAGTGATCCGACACGGTCAGTCAACTTTAACAATTTTGACTTTGAAACGCGCTTCACGCCAAAGCCGTGATAAGCCGTGTGCACTTTTGAATGCTTAAACTTCCAAAATTGCTCTGAGACTACTGTGCTGTTCGCATTTTGACTTCGACATGTGCTTTGCGCCACAATAGCGTGCACTTTTTGAACGGCTCAACTGCCAAAAAGCGCTCCGACACTGAGGTGTTTGTAATTGTTTGACTTGGACCTGTGCTTCGCGCCACGGCCGCTTGCACTACTTTTTTTGGCAGCTCAACTACCAAAAGTGCTCCGAAGCATCAATTTGGGTCTGTCAACTTCTACTTTTGAAGGAAGCCTCGCAGAATTGCTTCCTTTCAGATAGATAGATAGATAGATGGATAGACAGATAGACTGATTGATTGATTGATAGCTTAACAGACAGACTGAAAGACAGATAGACAGAGCAATAGAAAGATAGAAAGAGACAAAGATAGATACTTAGATGGATAGATAGATAGATAGATCGATAGATCGAGATCGATAGATCGATAGATCGATAGATCGATAGATCGATAGATAGATAGATAGATAGGTAGGTAGATAGGTAGATAGGTAGATAGGTAGATAGGTAGATAGGTAGATAGGTAGATAGGTAGATAGATAGACAGATAGACAGAAAGACAGATAAACAGAAATAGAGACAAATATAGAGATAGAAAGATACAAAGAAAGATAGATAGATACACAGAGAGAGATAGAAAGATAGAAAGATAGAAAGATAGGTAGAGAGACAGATAGACAGATAGCGAGATAGAAAGATAGAGAGATAGACAGGAAGAGAGGTAGATAGAAAGCTAGAGAGATAGAAAGGTAGGTAGATAGAAAGAAAGACACAAAGACAGAAAGACAGAAAGACAGATAGACAAACTGACAGACAGGCAGGCAGACAGACAGACAGGAAGGTAGCAGCTAGATACATAGACAGATGGGCGGATAGATAGACAGACAGATAGATAGCTAGATAGATATGGAGAAGGATATAGAGATCGATAGAGAAAGAGGGCGATAGAGAGAGAGAGAGAGAGATAGACAGTCAGAGAGATAGGTAAACAGATAGACAGGCAGACAGATAAATAGAGAGAGAGAGAGACTGATAGCCTCAGCCACCTGCCGATCCTTCAGTGCAATCGCTCTGCCATGCATGCGTCACAACAACACCTCTCCCATAGGGTTCCTATCCGTGAAACTTCCGCCGCTGACTTGCGCGGTACCACTGGTAAGATACTTCTTGCGGATTTGGGCTAAACAGCGGTCTGAATGTAATGGGTGCCTTGCGTGAAAAAATACAAGAACGACAAGGAATGTGAACGAAGACGGGTCAAGATGACACATCGCCCAGTGGTATAGAGTCGTATAGAGCGGGCAAAGACTTGCAGAAGCACACGGGGTGACCGGATATAGGACGAAATATAGTATGTGGATATATGATATATGTGGATGATGTGGGAGAAGTGCGCCAGGAAGTTCCTCTGATAAAAGAAAGGGATTCAAAAAAATGAGAATTTTTCCAAGATATAATATATATATAATTATATATATCCTTTTACATATTTCCCTATACATATTACAATCCATATTTGGGATTTTTGCCGGCCCTACCTATGCATCACGAATCTGCGAGCTTTCCGAAGAAAAGTGTTTTTGCCTCCCCAAAATGAATCGCAGGGGCGGGGAGAAAAACAACCGAAGTGAAAGGTTGAGGTTCGAAAGTATTGGTTTGGCGTTTGGGTTTAGGATGAGGGAAGGCCAAAAGGCATGACTTAGGCAGGACTTCTTGATGATGCTTTCACAAATGCAGAAACCGAGAGGAGTGACTTGGGTATGGCACTGTCAGGACCATGTACTGTTTGATTGAGGCAGTCTGGTTAGCTCCCGTTCAAATAGAACCACGAGTGACCTGAAAAAAGTGAACCAACCCAAAATGAATGTATTGGACCATGAACTGTTTGAGGATTACGCTATGTATATATGTATTGCAAAGTTTGCGTTCAATTTTGTGCGTTTTCATCTGCATGTGTGCATTCCGTGTGACAACGACGCCATTTGTCCGGTTTCATACATAGATGCGCGCATTGAAAGCGGGATGCTTTTGACATGTGCGATGCAAGATTCAATCCAAGGAAGGCCACGCGACGCACTGCAATGCATGAATCATGAATATAGCGCATTTGAGCATGCAAAAAACATTTGGAATCCATATGTATACAGGCAGCATTAAGAAGCAGCGTTGCATGGGATGGTTGTGATGTGGTATGATGGCTAGGGGCTCCAGCCTTCTGCTGTCAAAAAAACATTCTCCGGTGGACATCATGTAGATTTTTCAATGCCACAGGCACGTACAACGGAGGTTCGCTAATGACACGCTTGCTGTCCCACAGGACACTGGCGGATTGCTGAGAGCATTTGGATGCCATGTTGCAGACATTGCAGTCTCGCTCTGACGCTCTGACGACATTTGTAGCATATCTTGCAGCTGAGGTCTCCCTTGGGCGCTACACGCTGGAGGTCTATTTGCTACAAATGCCTTTGTCACATGCTAAGTATGCAAACGTCCTGAGCATTTCGCATCACTTCGCATCACCTCGCATCACTTCGCATAAGGACTGAGGCCACCTTGCAAATGCAAATGCCAAAGATGGCATGCGCGTGCTTTGTTAGGCTCAAGTAAATTCAGTGAAAGGAATATGAAGTTTGTACCTGGCGCGGAAAGGTCAACAAGGATACGGTCAGCTTTTCCACGTTTCGTGTGTCCGCTAAGCCTCTTGGGGATATGTCTCATTCACCTGCTTTCAGCGAGAGAGATCATAGAGGCTTTCTGCCATCTTCCTGCCACAGTTTCTCGTCGCTTGGAACGCGTTGCAGTCCGTTCTTTCACTGGTATCCCGGTGGCGACCACTCCCCCTCCAGTGATCCCAACAGCAACATCTGAGCCTGTTTGGACTGAGTGTTTTCTGACGGGGAAAAGAATGCAAAAGGATCAGGAAGGATTGGAGGCTCTGGAGGCAGGTCAGCCAACGACCCGCTCAGACGTGGAGGTGTGGCTTTTCCGGAGTGACACCGTGTCTGGCTTTGAAAAGTTCCTGCAGCATCGTCACTTTGATCCTGCGAACGAAGACGCAACATGCCGCAGCATCAGTCCAGATAGCAGCATTCAATGCCTGGAATGTATTCGAATAATTTTTGGAGGTGTGTATGGCTCAATAGGCGTCATTGTTCCAACATATCCACCAGAGAGTCAGGCCGTGGGCTGCCTTTCTAGAAATCGGGTTGTAGAGGCGGACTTTGATGACGACGACAACTACGATGGGAATCCAACTCGTGAAGTTGCTCTGTGCAATTCGCACAGGGGACGCTTGGATTCAGCTGTGCTTCAAAGTTGACAGGATGGCGATAGCTGACGGAGAAGTGATTGAAAGTGGCAATGTTCAAGATTTTTCGAGCATTTTCGAACATATTTCAATATATAGCATACACATGTATACACTGTATTACTGTATGCACCGTACACATGTCTAGAGGAGATGTCTAAGAAAAAAGGAACACCGAAATCTCTAGACATAGAAATTGATATTTGCTAGATGGCAAGAAAGGAGCAAGAAGGCAACCAAGAACATTGAATGCGAAAATGATCCGTTGGTCAATCTCGGCCCATCCTGGTCAAGCTTCCCAATCTTGTAGAAAAACACAGTTTCGCAAGACGCTTTGCTTTGGAGAAAATGCTGCTGTATTGCTGTGCTGTTGATTTTGCGCATGGCATACTTGGACCTGACAAGACAGCTGCGAAGGAAAGAGTTTTTTAAGAATGTAGTTATTTGAATGTATATACTTGTAAATATTTGATTGTATTTGCATAGATTGGCGCAAACTTGGTCATGTGTTGCACATGTGTTTATTGAGCCCGGCGTCTCTAGCTGTTGCAAGGCACGACTTCTTTTTGTGGACGAGAGCCCCAGGTGCCGAAGGCCTCCTCTTTGGCGCTGCAATCCTGTTGTGAGTCAGTGAGTCCCGTTCCCTCTTGATTCTATTTGCAGATGTATTGTGAATTATGAATATTGTGAATATGAGGATGTACTCTGATATGCATTGCTATGCTATGATGGATTGTCGAAGGAAGTTTAGAAGTCAAACTTCCGACAATATGGACAGATGAAAAGCAGAGCAGGGAAGCGGAAGAGAGAAGAGAAAGATTATATAGAAGAAAGAAGAGTAGAAGAGAAAGAGTAAGAAGAAAGAAGATGGAGATGCGCGAAAAGGTAGGAAAGTCGCGAAACACTGTGTTTTTCCAATGATTTGGGGCTCCGGAGGGTCAAAAAGTAGGCTCGCTAAAGCGGCGGGTGCGGAGCCAGCTGGCCAGATGAGAGATGAAAAGTTGCACGCCGTTGTGGCGCGAAGCACATTTCGAAGTTCAAAATGTGTACAAAACACACCACCTGGTCGGACCACTTTGGCCAGTGCACGCCGTTGTTGAGTGATGGGTCGGAAAAATGTGCACGCCGTTGTGGCGCGAAGCACATTTCCAAGTCAAAATGTACAAACACACCATGGGTCGGACCACTTTTGGAAGTTGCAATGTCGAAAAAGTGCACGCCGTTGTGGCGCGAAGCACATTTCGAAGTCAAAATGTACAAAACAC